CCAAGCCTGCACCGCTCAGCATACTCCGTGCTTTCTCCATGAGAGATCGATTCAACCTCTCTGCCACCCCATTCTGTTGAGGTGAGTAGGGCGTAGTCTTCTGCCTTGCAATTCCATTGCTCACACAAAACTGATCAAATTTTGTTGAACAGAACTCCCGTCCATTGTTAGTTCTCAGCACCTTGATTTTTCGATCAAACTGATTTTCTACCAAAGCCTTAAACTCGCGGAACTTATCAAACACTTCATCCTTGCTGCGCAAGAAATATAACCACACATATCTTGAAAAATCATCAGTAAAAGAAACATAATACCTTGATTTTCCATGTGATGCTACAGGTGTGGGGCCAAACACGTCGTTGTGTATCAGGTCCAGAATTCCCTCAGCTCTTCCTCCTATGGAATCTAAAGATACCCGATTTTGCTTCCCTTGCAGGCAATGCGTGCAAAATCCAAACCCCATAGAGCAGCTCGAAATTCCATCCACCAGCTTCTTTGATGTCAGAGTCTCCAGACCTTTTCCTCTAATATGCCCCAGCCTCCTATGCCACAACATAGTAGTGTCCTCTTCCGCCTGTTCTGAAACATAGCTTTCACCAGTGAATATTGTGCTACCCAGCAGTTTCCACAATTTACCATGATGCTCTCCTCTTACAATAACCAAAGCTCCTCGAGTCAGCTTGCAAGAATACTTGTCACTGCTAAAATTAATACCAGCATCTGCCATACTACCAACAGAGATCATATTTCTGGTAAGCCCCGGAATATGCATCACACCCGGCAGATTCTTGACTGTCCCGTCACTCATCTTCAGCTTTACCTTCCCACGCCCCACAATTGCATGAGTCGTGTCATCTCCCATTCTAACTGTACTGCCAGAATACGATTCATAGGTGCAGAACCACTCCCTATGAGGAGTCATATGAAACGATGCTCCAGTGTCAATAATCCAGTCATTACAGTCACTATGACTGTCAAACGCCATGTACAGATCCCCTGTACTTTCTTCATCATCCTTCTTTGTACCCGGAGCAGAAGATTGTGAATCATCCCGCTTATCAGGACCTACACTTTTACTTTAGCAATTCCTTCTCAGATGTCCAACCTGTTTGCACCTCCAACACCTCATTTCAGATTTATCAGATTTATCACGGGACTTTGACCGTCCCCTCGATCTTCCTCTGTGACCAAACTTTGATCTGTCACCACTCCTACCTCTAGCAACCAGAGCCTCATTGCTTGTACCTTCAGAACCTACCCTTCTTATCTCCTCGGACAATAAGGCAGCAACAACTGTCTCGAACGACAGTTTATTAACACCAGTACCAATTGGCACAATGATGTGCTCCCAAGAGTTGGGCAGCGAACACAACAACGTGCAAGCTTTATCTTCCTCATCTAGATTGATGTCTATAGAAGAAAGTTGCGCACAAATAGTATTAAATTCATTTAAATGAGCAGAGAAAGAATCACCTTCGCTCATCCGCAGATTATACAGCCTCCTTCGCAGGAACAGTATGTTAACGAGTGACTTGCTCTGATAGAGACCTCCCAGCTTCGTCCAGAGATCCTTCGCGGTCTTCTCAGAAGTTACGTTCACCAGAACGTTATCTGCCAGGCATAACCAGATCAGCCTTCGCGCCTTCCGATCGTCTCTGGTCCATGCCTTCAACTCCTTCGACTCGCCTTCACCTAACGTTTCATCACCGACAGGTTTCGTCGGTACCGATGGCTTATCATCTTCGATCACGTGCCACACGTCCCTGTCAACGAGCAGAGCCTCCATCTTCAGCTTCCATAACTCGAACTCTTTTCCTCCGAACTTTTCAACCTTGACCCGTGATTGCCAGTCGACATCCTCTCCGGATCAATTTCGCAGTTTTATCTATGCCAAGAAAAAACGCTAAATCGCGAAACCCCAATCTGTCACAGGAACCCCGGTCGCAGAACCAAAGCTCTTGATACCAAATGTTGGAAATTGACCACACACAAATCGAAAACAGAAAAGAAAAGAGAGAGAGAATAGACACAACGATTTACCCTAGTTCACCCAATTTAGGCTACGTCCAGCTTGTCTGTACTATATTCACCTCACTGCCACTCGTTACAAGTCTCTCGGTTTACAAGACAAATATAAATAGGATTACAAAACCCTAACAACAGCTATTCATGGGCCCAAGCCCAAACTGCTAAGAAAATTACAATACCCAACATCATCCACATGCGAAGTATGAGCCATACCCAACATTTTCACTTATATACTCTTCACTTAGCCCATTACCAACCAATGTGGGATTCATCACACTTGAATATCCCAACAATCTCTCCCTCAAGTGTGAAACCCACCATTGGTATGCTCCCCCTCAACCGAGTACCCCAAGCGCAAAGTACTCGAACCGCCTCCTAGCCAATCACCAGGCTAGCTCGAGCCCAACCTGGCTCTGATACCACTGTCAGGCGGGTCCAAGGGAAGCCCGTGGCGAGGGGCCACCACCAATGACTCCAAGTACACCAAGTGGGTCCGACACCACATCTCAACCCAAAACCTTAAGGCATTAGGTTCATGGGTCCTTTCACTTATATACTCTTCACTTAGCCCATTACCAACCAATGTGGGATTCATCACACTTGAATATCCCAACACCAATTATGTATAAAGTTGAAAATCTTCCATAGAGTCCCACCATACCCATGTAAATTGATGTACCTCAATTTTCCTCTAATATTTTGTTTCTTGTAATGTTTTTGGCCACAAAATTGTGCTCTATTTTCTTTCTAGCCACCAAACAAATTGTTCTTGAGGAAGTGGAAGGAGATCCCATATGTACAATTCTTGCTCCACCATTTTTGGCTCATGCTCTTGATTTGTTATTTTCAAGTGTAACACTAGTTCCTCTGTTGGCCCATGCTCCAATATTGCTACTAAAGTGGATTTAATGTGTTGGGCAAAGCCTCTTTTTATCTTTCTAACCACCATTGCTTTTGGGTCTGGCCTAGTATGCAAATATTTTAACCCATTTGGCAAAGTTCCATTTCTGCCTTAATGTTGCTTACCTAAATCTTCCATTGCTTGTACTTGTCGCTAATAGGTTCTTCTTGCTCTCCTTCTTCATCTTGTGGTTGTTGTTGTTCTTCTTATACTTTTGCTATATTTTCTTCTTGTTCTTGTTCTCTCTTTTTTTCTCTTCTACTGCTTCGGCTTCAGCCTTTTCTTCTTCCTCCTCTATTTCTGTTTTTGCCTTTTCTTCTTCTTCTTCGATTTCTTCTCTCGTTCCTTCTTCTTCTTCTTCTCCTTCTATTTGTTGTTGTTCATCTTCTTCGACCTTTTGTTTCTTCTTCTTTTTTTAATTCTCCGTACTCTTTAGTTTCTACCTCTTCTTGATGTTGCCAAACCAAAACATTGTTACTGATAATGTGCTCTTTCTTGACTTCTTTTCTACCCATGCATCTAGGATTTTCAACATGTTTTACATCATTGTTGTAACATCTAACATGATGACTTTCTCCAAAGCTCCAAGATCTCCCATGGTTTTCACTCCCTCAAAGATATGGATTAAAAACACTACCGAATCAATGATGCTCTGATACCAAAATGATGGAACCCAAAATGAACACACTGATTTTATTGCTTCAATGGAGCCATGGCCTCTTTTTACAAACACTAATACAAGAACAAGACACTAAAGACCTCTAGCTCACCTTTAGAGCCAACACCTAGGCTCCAAGAGATCCCCAATATTTACTCAATACGTGCATACCTCACTCCACACATTCTCCTCTTTTATCCTATCCTCTAAGAATATTCTAAAGGAGTTCTTTAACTGACTGACTAACACACTCACCACTTTCATATCCATCAAATTGGTTTAAGGATAAGAAGGCTCGTAAAAGCTCTTTAGAAAGATATCTCTTTCTAAGTTGAGAATTTATACACGGATGGTTGTTTTGATGATTCACTTTGTTATGAAAATAATTGTGGCCGTTCTTACTTGTAATTTAAGAATGCATCCCAAATCTAATTTATTGCTAAATTAGCAAAAATATTACATTATTTGGAGCTTGATTTCTCTAAATTTTAGCCACAACTCAAATTTCATATCAAGTATCAGACTGGGTTGACACGAGATGTTACAATAACAAATCACACCGTGCTAATTCAAAACAAAATGATCAGCCAATTTGGAAGCACTTACTTGGGTAACAAGACTGTTTACTCGGGTAACCAGTATGTTACCACAGTGTAAAAGTTCGTAATTAATTGATGGTATTACAAGAGCAAATTTACTTAGAAATCAGTATTGCAGCAATACAAACACTGAGCTATTTCAGGGTTAACTTGTCAAGTCAGATGTATAGGTGAATCAAATAGAATACGTTTGCTTTATTTGGAAGTAAGAGAATTAGTCTATATGCAAACCACTAAGACAATAATACAAATATGATAAAACTGTGTATCATTTTAAAGGACGTAAAGTTGTGTCATTTTAAGTGAGAGAAAGAAATAGATAAAGAAGAAAAGAGTGGATAAAAAAATATAAAGATGTGGGTCCCACCTCTTTGTGAGAGTGAAATGATATAAATTCTGTTATTTAAAAGGACAAACACTTTTTTTTTTTTTTTTTATAACAAGGACAAACACTTTTACCTACAAATATACCACATTTGAATAGGACTTACACGAGTATGCTAAAAATTATGCAGTTATTTATCTTCCTTCAGAAACAGAGCTTAACTAACATCAAATTTCCAGAACATTACTTCTCGTCATTTTCCCTACTCTAGTAAGAGTATTTTACTTTCTATATCCACTAAGATGATTAGATAAGGAAAATTTGAGCTAATTTATTACATGTAAACTAGTTTTACACCTTTCAGATATTTCCAAGGGAGGAGTCCTTTATCCTACTTTGTGGTTTGGAGTGAACTACAAGTTTTTTTTTGGATTACAAGGAAAAGCAAAAACAGAAAAAGACAACAAAAAACAAACAAAAGTCATTCCTTGTTTATGGATTACAAGTTTTTTTTTTTTGGATTACAAGTTGAAACCACATAAAAATAGTAGTACTAGATCAAGCAGTTAACCTCTGAACTGCCACTTAAAATCATTCCTTCTTGAACCAAAAGTCACACATTTAAAGTACAAACAACAAAAATCCAATCATCCTCTATGATATAGACAATACATAATATCAGTGAAGCCTCAACTTTTTTACCCAATAGATTGAGATCCATTCACTTGTTTGTGGTAAGTATCTAGGGACACAACAAATGATAACTGATTCATGTCATACCAATGTAAAACTGCACGGTATTCCTGAATCATTTCATATAATGTAGTGTCCAACTGTACAAAGTTTATGGAGCATTATTAAGCAATATCTAGAACTCAAGAATTATCTTCCCAGTTGCATGACCATCAATACACTTAGCCCAGGCATCTTCAGCCTTGGTAAAAGGATATTTGGAGTCTATAACTGTTTTAAGCTTTCCTTCCTTAACCAAATCAACAAGATATTGAAGGTTCTTACCCTTTGGAATTAGAAGCAGAGGCACAAGTTGCTTTTTGGAGAAGGTAAGTTTCTTCAAAGCAAATGTCATCATGGAACCAGAGCTAGGAGATATGTCTATAACCTTTCCATTCATGCTCAAGTTAGGCTCAAAGGTGGACCAAGGAAAGCCAACTGCACAGTGGATCACTGCATCATATTTCTTTCCAGATGGACTCTTCAAAGCGGCACCATCCAGGGTTTTATAGTCAATTACCTCATCAGCCCCTAAGCTTTTGACCAATTCAATGTTGCGAGCGCCGCAGGTGGCTGTCACATGAGTGTTTCCCAGCTTTGCCAGCTGAACTGCATAGTGACCTACACCACCTGATGCAGCAGTGATCAAAATGTTTTTCCGTTCACCATTTCCATCAAGTTTGATCCCTATGGATTGGGTTATTGCCTGGAGAGCTGTCAGACCAGCAACAGGTAAGCCAGCACATTCAGATGCCGAGATTTCTGATGGTCTCGAAGCAGTGACACTCTCCTTCGCAACAGCAAACTCGGCTAGTCCTCCACCATTCTACCAAAATAAAATTTCTTGAATCATAAAACAAGTCTTTTCTATGATGAGGCAGGTTGATATTGGCACATGATAAATAGCAAAGAAAAGCTGAAAAAGTATTAGGAAAAACTTATATTACTCATCAAATCTTGAAGTATTTAACTCATCCAAGCTGTACTTTGGTATATTGATAACATCTTTGTATCATTTCATTAAGTGTAGTCAATTCAAGTCCACGGATTAGATACCCTAAATACAAACATGAATACGTTTTTGTTTCCTGTTTATAATTTAAAAATAAAACAAGAAATAGATCATAGACAAAAGAAACATTGTAATTAGTGATGTAAGAGGGGTTTTATCGATTTAAATCAGGCTAACTACAGTGATAAAAAAAAATTCTCTCAAATTACAAGAATTCGTCTTATACATTATGGTAATAGATAATTTAAGGCAAACACCACCATAATGTACTTAATTAATAGAAGTAACAAGTAAAATAAGATCAAATGCAATTTATAGATCAATATATATGTTCATGTACAATAAGATACAAGAAAAAATTAGTATGTAACTAATAATAGAAAGTTAGGTATAAATCAAATGATCATTTCAGATGCGAACAAAGACTAAAGAGCTAAACGAAAAATTAGAAAGATTTCAGCACAAAGCAGAAGATGTAAAATTCTCTGATGATTCTCTTTCTGAGTGAAGTCTTCAAAGAAATGATCTATTAATAGAAGAGACTGGATACCAGCAGTAATGTTTTCAAATGAGACGCGGCCACAAAAATATATGCACAACAACTTACAAAGGGATTAACAACGGCTACAACTTTGTCACCAGGTTTGAACTTTTTGACAACTTGACCAACCTCCACGACCTCTCCTGCTATATCAGTGCCTATTACAGAAGGTAAGTTTCTTCAACATGACGCTCTTGAAAGATTTGGAACACATAAGATAAATTAAAACAGTAAATGTTTGGTAGGCTCAAGCTGTAAACTACATCGTAATTAAAATCAAGTTTCAACAATAGGAAAAGACGTAAATATCAAGTTCAACTTGTATGATGTAATTCACATTTGAAAACAGTCACGTATGCTCTTGATTCCAGATCTTTTGGTGAATATGCAATTGCACAGTGAGATCTAAGATTGCAAATTTATATACATAAGAAAACCTACTGCATGAGTACATGTTTTGATATAGATATGGACTGTGAGATGTGAGAAAGGCATACAATGCATCGATAAACAGTATTTTAATAGAGCATAAGATCATCACATACAAATTTTATACATTTAAGAAGAGAAAGATATTCATCAGATCCTTGTCAAAGAGAACTGCTTGAAAATATTATTATAAGAACTTACTGTTAATTTCTAAAGGTGAAGACGCCTATGTTTAACCAGTACATACTAAAATCTATTTAATATAAATGAATATACAAGAAGAGAGAGAGAAGAGAGAGAGAGAGAGAAGCAAAGAAAGCTACCAGGTATATATGGAAATTTGCGAGGAAAAATTGGCCACAACATGCCCTTTTGTACTTTCCAATCGAATGGATTTATACTAGCTGCTTCCAATTTGATCAAAACCTCATCTTTACTGGGAGTGGGTAAGGGAACTTCAACATGCTGCAATAAGTATAAATTATAAATAGCATTTGTAATTATTGAAATAAAAAGAATTGTTTTTCTATATTGATTCACAATGATTTACACATAATGAGAAAGAATTAACGAGGATGACTCAGCAATGAGTCATTAGTCCTATCCACGAATTAATAGAAAATAAAAAATGAAAACGAAAATATTTTTAATTCTAATTTCCTACACTCCCCCTCAAGTTGGGAGGTAAATGTTGATCATTCCCAACTTGCCAATCAAGTCTTCAAAGGCTAGACGGTGTAGACCCTTAGTGAGATCTTTGGTAGGAACATACATCTTACGCACACTTCCATCATCTAATTTTTCTTCGATGAAGTGGTGATCAACTTCCATGTGCTTTGTTCGATCATGGTGAACGGGATTTTGAACAATGCTGACAGCTGCCTTGTTGTCACAATATAGTTTTATTGGTAGGGAATATGAGATCTTTAACTCTTGAAGAAGTCTTCTCAACCAGATTCCTTAATAAACTCCATGAGCTAAAACTCGAAATTCTGCTTCAACACTACTTCTTGCAACCACTGTTTGCTTTCTGCTTCTCCAAGTAACAAGATTTCCCCACACATAGGTGCAATAGCCTGAGGTAGATCTCCTGTCTACTGATGTGCCTGCCCAATCTGCATCAGTGTAGATTTCAATTGTCCTTTTATACCCCTTTGTAAAGAATAATCCTCTTCCAGGAGTGTTCTTGAGGTATCTAAGCACCCTATAGACTGCACTAAGATGTTTCTTCTTGGGTGAGTGCATGAATTGACTAATCATACTCACCGCAAAGGCAATGTCAGGTCGCGTGTGAGATAAGTAAATTAGTTTGCCAACCAATCTCTGATATTGTTCTTTTTCCACCCCATTCCCATCTTCAATACCTAACTTGGTATTAGGTTCCACGGGTGTCTCAGCAGGCTTACACCCTAACATTCCTGTTTCCAACAAAAGATCTCGAACATATTCCTTTTGTGTGAGAGTGATGCCTGTTTTGCTCCTAGAAACTTCCATACCAAGGAAATATTTGAGAGTTCCAAGATCCTTCAGTTCAAACTGAGCTGCTAAATACTTCTTCAAGGAGTTCAATTCCTCACTATCGTCACCTGTAAGAACTATATCATCTACGTACACAATAAGAATAGCAATTTTACCATCCTTAGAATGTTTGTGGAAGAGAGTATGATCAGTCTGTGCTTGAGTGAAGCCTCTTCTTTTGAAAGCTTGTGTGAATTTGTCAAATCATTCTCTAAGAGACTGTTTCAACCCATATAGAGACTTTTTTAGTTTACGCACCGATCAATTTCCCTTTTCAAAACCATGTGGAGGATCCATATAGACCTCTTTATGTAAGTCACCATTTAGGAATGCATTCTTCACATCTAACTGTTGCAGAGGCCAATCTAGGTTGGCAGCAAGTGATAAGAGAACTCAGATGGTATTGACTTTAGCAACTGGAGCAAAAGTCTCATGATAATTTATCTCATGAGTCTGCATGAACCCCTTTGCAACTAATCTTGCCTTGTACATATTGATGTTATTATCTGCATTGAATTTTATTGTAAACACCCATTTGCATCCTACTGCCTATTTTCCCTTTGGTAAGGTCACTATCTCCCAAGTTCCATTTCTTTCCAAAGCATTCATTTCTTCAAGGACAGCATCCCTCCATTTTTTTATCATTGAGAGCCTCATGTATATTTCTTGATATCTTCGTACTATACAACATAGTATTGAAAGCACGGAACCCGGGGGACAACTTTTCATATGAAATATGATTAAAAATAGGATGAGTAGTACAAGATCGAGTACCTTTTCTAAGAGCAATGGGCAAGTGTAGATCATTTTTATCATGGCACTCAAGTGTTGGGGTGCTGGAACTAGAACTTGGTTCAGAATCCTGGCAGTGTAGAGGCTCTGGATTACTCACACTTTGAGGAGGCTTTTTTGCCTGCTATAAACTTGTCCCCACTTTGAGGAGGCTCCTGATGGTGAGGATTCTGTAGCTCCTCCTATTTCCAATAGTAGAGGTAAGACTGTGGCATCAGTAGGTTCCCATGAATGATCTTCATCTGCTCCTATAGACTCCCCCTGAAGAGAAGTCAAGGGAAAGAAAGGTTGAGTCTCAGAAAAGGTGATATCCACAGAGACAAAGACCTTACAAAGAGAGAATAACACTTATAGCCACATTGAGTAGGAGAATAACCTATAAAGACACACCGAAGAGACTTAGGTACAACCTTTGACCATTGATGAGAGGAAATATGGACAAATACAACGCAAACAAATAACTTGAGAGGTAGGGAGGAGATGCCTCGGAAGGAAGGGAAGGTACGGAAAAGATTAGAAAGAGGAGACTGAAAGTTGAGAGTGCGAGATGGCATTCGATTGATTAGATACAAGGCAGTGAGAACGGCTTCCCCCCAAAGATATTTAGGAACACTCATAGAGAACATAAGAGCTCGAGCAACTTCAAGGAGATGTTGGTTTTTTCTTTCCGCAACTCCGTTTTGTTAGGGTGTGTCAAGATACGAGCTTTGGTGAAGGATGCCATGTTGGGAAAGATATTCTCCAAGAATAGAGTTAAAATACTCTTTGTCATTATTTGTACAAAGAATTTGTATAGCAACTTGGAATTGGGTTTGAACCATGGCATGAAACTTTTTAAAAATGAATGCAGCATCTGACTTGTCCTTTAGAAGGTATACCTAACAAACTTGGGAATGGTCATCAATGAAGGTAAATGAACCATCGAGCACCTGAAATATTCTTTACACGAGATGGTCCCCATATGTCACTATGAATTAAAGAAAATGGGGAAGAGTCATGGTGAGTTTTAGAAGGATAATGAACACGAGTATGGTTGGCAGGTTGACAAATATCACAAGAAAACAAACTAGGACTTTTATTAATAAATAAGTTTGGTAACAACTTCTGAAGATAGATAAAATTGGGATGGCCTAGTCTACGGTGCCACAGTATAACATCATTACATGAATCAAAAGGAAACATAGAGTCTTTTTCCACAAAAACAGCTTCATGAGTCACATCCTCCTCAAAGTAGTAAAGTCCACCATCCTCTCTAGCACTGCCAATCATCCTCTTCGAGTCTTGCTCCTGAAAAACACAACCATGTGGAAAGAATTTAGCAAAACAATGCAACTCAGAAGTCAGCTTGCTAAAGGAAATGGGATTGCAAGCCAGAGAAGGAACATGGAGAACTGATGTTAAATTAATCTACTCAGAAAGTTTAATGCTTCTGTGTCCTGCAATCTGGGAGAAGCTGTCATCGACGATCTTGACCCGAGAAGGTTCAGAGTATGGAGTGTAAGAACAAAACAAGGTCGGATTACATGTCATATGGTCAGAGGCTCCAGAATCAAGGATCCAATGATTTTGACTATCAACATGGAAAGTTGTACCTTGCTGGGCCACATTACTAGTGGCCTTAGGAGGTTGAGTTAGAAGTCTCTGAAGTTGTTCAAACTGAGTCTTGCTAAGAAAGACACCATCAGAGTCAGAGGATACATGAGGCTCATCAACCTTGTCATCAGCAAAGACCTGATATGCACGACCTTTATTTTGTCTTTTTGGCTTCCAATTTGCAAGTTTCTCATGGATTTCCCAACATTTCTCACGGGTATTGCAGTGGGTGCACCAAGGACGACCATCCCGTTTTGATTCTCCAGAGGAACGGTCAATGGTACGTTTGGCAGCCAATGCAGACTTATCAATTGACTCATTTTCTCCTAGCATAACTCTCCGTCTACTAGCTTCTCTACGAACTTCAGCAAAGGCATCAGCAAGTGAAGGTAACGGTCGGTGCCCCAATATTTATCCACGAACCTCATCAAGATCTCGGTTGAGGCCAGCAAGGAAATCATAAAGTCGTTCCTTCTCCAAGTGTTTTTTGAAATGGGTATTAGCTTCCAATCCTTTAAGATCGGATGCATAATAAAGATCCAGCTCCTGCCATAAATTTGTTAGTGCAGTAAAATATTCAGTAATAGTCATACCCTTTTGACGAAAGTCTCTCAACTTATTTCTCAGTTCAAAGACTTGAAAAGTATTCTCCATATCTAAATAATTTCGTTGAACAACATCCCAAATCTCCTTGGCAGTATCGAAGAATAAATAGGTTTGGCCAATCTATGGTTCCATGGAATTAGTAAGCCATGCCATTACCAAGAAATTATTAATCTCCCAATTTTCATAATCAGGAGCATCCTCAGCAGGTTTCTTAACTTTTCCCTCGAGAGAACCCATCTTACCTTTTACCCGGATGACCAACTTAATCGATTGAAACCATTGCGAAAAATTCTTACAGTTCAACCGATGACTAGTGATCTGCATACCTAAGTTGTCTCTAAAGGACTGAAAATTTAGGGCAGATGAGGAAGCGGAAGAACGATCTGAGGAAGCCATGAATAGAGAGAGAAGGTTTGACCGTAGATTAAAAAATCAAGTTGCTCCGATTTTAGATCTGACCACTAGAATAGGTAGAGAAGAGGCCGATGAGATGATCTAGGCAGGTCGTGCCGGAAAAAAATTCCGGGAAGGTGGCGTGTGGGCTACACGCGCCAGAGAGTGGCCGCGAGTGTGACAGTGTGTGGGACGTCTGACGGCGATGGGTCCGGTGGCGTTCAACTCGTCGAAGCCTACTGAGTTGAATGGTTACTCCACCTTCTCGATTGGAGGTCTGTAGGTATGGTTTATGGGATTTGGAAGAGGTTGGTTCGTGTTTGGATGATTTTTGAATTGGTTTCAGCCTTGAGGGTGGCTGATCTAGGGTAGGAACGAACCTGCTCTTGATACCGTATTGAAATTAAAAGAATTGTTTTTCTATATTGATTCACAATGATTTACACTGATAGAGAGATTTATACAAGAGAGAATGAGAAAGAATAATGAGGATGACTCAGCAATGAGTCATTAGTCCTCCTATCCACTAATTAATAGAAAATAAAAAACGGAAACGGAATTATTTTTAATTCTAATTTCCTACATTAATCTACAAATATTCTTTATATCATTGATGCTTCCTAAGCACAAAGTTAAAATAAAATGCATTTTCTATATCAGATTGAACTTTTTCTCATAAAAATATGAAGGGCACACGGATAAAGTTGCTAGAATGCTTGTTATAGATATTATCTTCAAATGGTATGGATATGGAGGTGACGATTCTAAGTGATCCTTTTAAATGATGCCAACCCAAAATCCCTGTATGTCACTCATAAACCACAGATAAAGCATCTCTTGAATGAGGAGCAAGGTAAACAATGCCTCTGGAGCTTTATTTATAATTTGACTATTGCCCTCGCCCCACCCTCGCCAGTCAGGGTTTAATGGGGAGTGGTGGTTTTTTTTGTTGTTAGCAGAAAAGTCTATTCATAGCTCCCTTTTTATCCTCAATAAAAGAAGGGAGTTTATTAAAGAGAGGAAAAAGGTATAAGTCTCTTCTCTTCCAAAGAAGTCATCATAACATACTGCTTTTGATCAGTTTCTAGAGAGAAGCACAACATGCTTGTCCAAGGAACCTCATATAATCCACTAAATTTTGATAACAATGTATGTAATACAAGGACAAAGAAGTTTTCTCATTTGAAAAAGATTGAGGAAGTCAGATTTAGGTTAGGAGAACAAATTCTTATTAGATTACATTGGACTCCAAATGTCTTAGTTTCAGTCACCATATATGTTTATATGGCCATATAATGTTTGACAAGTCCTCGTGCACAAGGCTCTCCTACTTTGCAAGGGTAAGGATAAGGATCGATTATACACAGCCTTACCCCTACAATTTTAAAAAGGAGATGTGAAGAAAATGTTTGACTAGGCCAATAACATTGGTTTATATAATTACACATACTTAAGTTAACAAGAAGAGAAGGCATATTTTGGTAGAGGAGGTTCGGCCTATAATAACGCTGTCATAATTCGACAGAAGATAGGATTGAAAGAAATCAATGTCCTTTCTACAAGAGAGAGACTACTAATTAATAACGGAAAAAGTATTTCTCATTTTAAATAACACTGTTGTCATTTCACTCTCACAAAGAGAGTAAGAGGTGGGACTCATACCTTCTTCTTTTTTTTGTCCTCTCTCTCCTTTATCTATCTCTTTCTCTCACCTAAAATGACACAATTTTACATCCTTTAAAATGATACACATTTTTTCCCATTAATAATACCACCAATTCTTAACACAAGTAACAAGATGTAATTCCCAAATTATAAATCTAATCACGGTTGCTAGATCTTTACTGCAATTTGGTCCATGAATTCATTCTTTCTCTCACATCTTCTGTGTTCTCTTATATCAATTATTGCTCTATCACTTTATCAAATAATCCACCAAATTCACATTCACAGAAAAGAAGAAACAGTTAAGACTTTTTCCACCTTCTGGTCAGCATCATGACTAGTAATCAATACAATAAAAGCACAACAACAACAATGTATGAGGATTGAGGAACAAAAACAAAAACACCCAGAGGCATGAATTGAAAGAAAAATTTTAATCCCAAAATAAATAAAAAAATGAATTAACAAGAATATTATGAAGTTGAAAAACCTTTAAGCCAGCAGGGCCTCCACCATAGCCATTGTACTGAATGGCATGCATAAGCTTCCCCATATCCACAGCAAGAAACTAGAAAGGAGAGTGTTGAGAAAGTGTCTTAATGTGCAAGACAAAGTAGACTAGAAATTAGAAAAACAAAGAGAAAATGACGAACAAGAAACGTAACAAAACGTGTGGTTAGCAACAGGACAAGTAGTGGCATCGGTTATGGTTCTTGGCCATGACAAAATGGGGAATTCATTTGGCTTATTTTAAAATAACTTACTCAATTTCTTTATACAAATTAGTGTTTTCATGATTTTAGATGGCGAAAAATATTTCTCATTTTAAACTATATAATTTTACGTCATTTTTAGAAATTATATTATTTTGATATGTTTTTACATTATTTTTTCTCCACTTTCTTTTTTTTCTAATTTAATAAAAAATATATGTATAAAAAAATCAAAAACATATTAAAACGACATAGTTTCATTAAAAATCATAGAAAATTATGTCATTTAAAATGACAAATACTTAACCCTTTTTACATATATAAAAATACATGGAATTGTCATGTGAAAAGAAAAAAAATATGGATCCCATATGTATAGGAGATAAAATTATTTCTTACAAGATAAAAAATATTAATTCCCTTTTTAATCATTTATTTTTATTTATTTATTTTATTTAAGTTCATCAAAATTTTGATTTTTTTATTATTTATTTATTTTATCTAAATTTGGATGACGTGGACTAACGACAATTATCTGGCATTGGGGCTGTTATGTAGCTTAGTTTGGCAAGAGAAACAAAAACAATATCATTTTAGGGCTGTCTAACACCATTGGGTATAAGTAAGGCATGTTCCATATTTCATATACTAAGCCAAAAATACACAACATCATGACTATGATGAATAAAATATTAAGCCAAAAATATGTAGAAACTAAAATAGTTCAATTGGGCGTTAGAGCCCAAAGAAAAAAAAAAGTTCAATTGACTGCAAATTTTGTAGTTGTCTATTCGTTATTTGAAGTTGTAGCATATTCAAATTTAAAATGAAATTAAGATTAAAGTATATTTTGAGTCCTAAATAAATATTACGGGATCTAATTTAATCTTTAAAAAAAGTCAACTTATGAAATCTTTTTAATTTTAAAATAAACTCATATTAATTTTTTTTTAGGAATTAACGTGAATCTTCTTTTTATTTTAGAAGGACCATGATTTAAATTAATTAGATCTATTTTAAATTTTAGAAAATAATAAATCAAATTTTTTTCCTAAAAAATTAAAATGAATTCCATAATTTTTGTTAAGGATACAAAAGATATTTCCTCTCAAAATAATTGGAATGAATCAATCCCCATTTTTAATGGCCGGTCACACAAACTTGCCACTACGCTTTTGTATCTCCTTTTATATGCTTGCACCCAATGATGGTAAATTCTGCTCGGACCGGCCGAGTCAACTTGGTAACCGGTGAACCGGTCCTCTCACCGGTTCGAGCCACGCAATAGATCGGTCATGTATTCAACCCGGACTCAACCGAGTTTAACCGGCCGGTTTTACCAAAACCACTGACCCCACGGTTTATTTACAATCCACCCGGTCTTGATGGGCACGCAACTAAAGTATCATGTGAGCTTCTCTGAATGCTTATAAATGTTTTTCTTTTCCATATCCGGGTCGATGTGGTACCCCTTACTCTTACCAATATGCAACAACAGAAACGTTTTTCAAGTGAATTTCTAAGAATGCAAGGTGTTGAAATGAGATAATATTTACTGAGTTGTACAGTTGTTGGAATTTTAATCATTGATTACACAATTACATAATCATAAGAGATTTGTATTAAATAGATTAATTTTCTTATTTGCAGTTGATTGACATAATCATAGGAGTTTTGTGTTAGTATATGGATGTCCTAGAGACAATCTTTTAATTAGATTAGGACATATGTGGACCTTTGTATTGTCGCAAATAAATAAAAGCACTATTTATCCTGTTTCATATTTTGTCTCAATATTACTGTTAATATTTTATATGAGTAACTGGATAAACCCCTTGGAATAAAATAGGTATCTCTTGAGTATCTGTGATAAGATCACGATCATGAGGATTCAAGGATACTGGATATTTATTCCTAATTTTATGTTCCTAGTCTAGAGACACTGAGAATGGGGATCAGTGATCTCGGGTAAGACTAGCACGACTTATCTACTTGTATTCGGATGCAAGGTAAAGACCTCATGAGCTACAGATATGGAGATGTCTTAGCTAAAGTTGTGGGTGGATCTATAAGGGTATAGCTCGCACTGAACAGACTCACAAAAGAGACTCTATGAGGAAATCTCACAGAGAGTATCATTATATTTGGGTATGTCTTTCCTTAGACCAGAAGTTATTACCTAGACTGTGTTCTAGAAGGCATGCTTTGACTGTATACCTCGTCTTCCTGAAACATGGAGACTCATAGGTATACTGTTGGGCTTGTCCTGAAAGAGCACAGGGCTAGGGTGATAAGTTGAAGGAATTCGTCAAATCTCTGTGAGAGATTAGGTTATCTGTAAACCGGAGAAATCGAGATGACATTTATAGGGACGCGGGAATCTATGCATAGTAAAAGAGATCATGAGATGATCTGCCTTTAGAGTCAGTAAATTGAAGATTCCCAATTTCGAATAAAGCTTACTCTAAACCGCAAGGGTTGATACGCTTCCTTACCCTAGGTTTTATGGGAAGGTAACCGAGACGAAAAGAAATACATACGGAAACCAAATATGTGTAATAGGATGATCAAGTCATTAATCTAACTAGCTCTGGGGCAACAAAGCATTGCTAGTGCTCTGTGTTGTCATTAAATGGGTTGTGGGCTTGTTGGGCCCGAGCCCATTTATGTCAGTGGCTATATTGGACCTAATGGGTCATACACTAACACCTTAATGTCATGATGATATAGCATTAAAGGTATTGGGCCTAATAATGGTTGTTAGTCCAAGATGAAGTTTGAACTCTTCATCTTTCGCAACCATCAATAAGGTTTCACCTTCCTCCTTTTCTGCAAAGTTTGAACTTTCTCCTTTTTCTTTGCTATTTGGCAGCTTAGTATAACATTCAGATTTATAATGACCAAATTTATGACACCTGAAACATTCTACCTTGGATTTATCAGGGGCTCCTCCTCTGCCTCTGCCTTGAAATTGATCATTATTGGCTCTGAAGTTAGTGGACCTTCCTCTGCCTCTGCCTCTGTCTCTACCTCTACCCCTTCCTTGAAAATTGTTGGAACGAGTATTGGTAGAAGCCTTTAATGCTTGCTCATCTGTGTCTTCCTGTTTGAACTTCTGTTCATGCACCACCAATGAACTCTGCAATTCATCAAGTGACAAATCATCTATATCTTTAGATTCTTCTATAGCACAAACAACAAAGTTAAATTTTGCTGTTAATGATCGAAGAATTTTTTCTATGACAGTTATTTCTTCTATCCCGTCTCCATGAATTCGCATTTTATTGACAATGGTCATCACGCGAGAGAAATAATCTGCAATTGATTCTCCCGACTTCATTCGAAGTGTTTCGAATTCCGAGCGTAAAGCTTGAAGCTGCTGCCTCTTTACTCTTGCAGAGCCTTGATACTTCTTTTTCATGGAGTCCCAAATATCCTTGGAAGTTTCTTTGGAAAGAATGGTTTCCAAGATAGAACGGTCAATGGCCTGGAAGAGATAATTCTTCGCCTTCAAATCCTTCAACTTTACTGCTTCATGAGCTGCTCGTTGTGCTGCTGTCAACTGAGCTCCTTCTGCTAGTGCTGGTTCAACAACACCATTGGTAACTACATCCCAATATTCCTTGGATCGAAGGAAATTCTCCATCAACGCCTGATCATAATGACCATCGTCTTCGGAAATCCTTATATGGTCTCAAGCAGTCTCCTCGAGCATGGTTTAGTCGTTTCAGTTCTGCTGTTCAGGCGTTTGGCTTAATCCGCAGTAAAGTTGACCATTTTGTGTTTTATAGGATTACATCTCTTGATAAGTGTATCTATTTGTTAGTCTATGTTGACGACATCATTCTCACCGGAAGTGATCAAGACGGAATTCGTCAGTTAAAACAGTTTTTGTTTAGTACATTTCAAACAAAGGACCTTGGGAAGCTGCGTTACTTCTTGGGAATTGAGGTGGCGCAATCCAGACAGGGCATTTCTATCTGTCAAAGGAAATATGCCCTGGATATCCTAGAAGAAACTGGTATGTTGGGGAGTAAACCAGTTGATACACCTATGGATCCTAATGTCAAGTTATTGCCCGGACAGGGGGAGCCGTTATCTGATCCTGGACGTTATCGGAGGCTAATTGGGAAGCTCAACTATCTTACTGTGACTAGGCCAGATATTTCTTTCGCTGTTAGTACGGCTAGTCAGTTTCTTGATTCCCCTTGTGATTCACATTGGGATGCTGCTGTGAGGATCCTCCGATACATCAAAGGAGCACCAGGAAAAGGTTTGTTGTATTCAGATCAGGGAAATACAAAAATTTGTGGTTATTCAGATGCTGATTGGGCAGGATCACCCTCGGACAGACGCTCTACTTATGGCTATTGTGTCTTCTTTGGAGGAAACTTAATTTCGTGGAAGAGCAAGAAACAACCTGTTGTTGCTCGATCTAGTGCAGAAGCTGAGTATCGTGCAATGGCAAATGCTACCTGTGAGTTAGTCTGGTTAAAGCAGTTGATTCAGGAGCTTCATCTTTGTGAACAGAAACAACTCATGACACTCATCTGTGATAATCAAGCTGCGCTACATATATCCTCTAATCCTGTCTTTCATGAGAGGACCAAACATATAGAGATTGATTGTCACTTCATTCGAGAAAAGATTCAGTCAGGAGAAATCAAGACTGCTTTCGTCAACTCCTCTGATCAACTAGCGGATGTTTTCACTAAAGCTCTTAGAGGTCCTCAGGTTGAATACATTTGTAACAAGCTTGGTGCTCATAATATATACGCACCAGCTTGAGGGGGAGTGTTAGAATATTAGATATGATATGATTAAATATGATTAGATATGATTGGATTCCGTCTTATCCGTAAATATTATGACTGTATTCTGACTGTATTAGGATTAGGTTTGGGTTAGGTTTGGGCCTTTCACTTAA